GAGAGAGAGAGAGAGAGAGAGAGAGAGAGAGAGTATCCAGGTGCGAAATGCACGGCGTAAAAATAATTGCGTCGCGTGCTCCCGCTGTCAACAATTCGAGCCATCCCCATCGAGCTTTTTCACTCGTCGTAAAGTCACCCTTGCAGCGCGGCTGTTATAAAACCACGCGCGAATACGCAGATGCCTGCGAAGGGACGCCTGTAAAATAGAATCCTTCCATTCTCCTCCCCCCGTCCCTTTTTACGCGCTCAATTTCTTTATTAATTTCACCCTCTCGTAACTCATCCGTATAAAACGCACCACATCCACCTACTACCTAAGAGTTTTCTTCTTCCCCCGATAAAATAAAATTCGATACATTTCCGTTACGCGGGTTGTGATAATAGCAATTTCCCGGGAAGGTGGAAGAGAAAATTCCATCGCTGCTACACGATTTAATGGCTCCACGAAATGATTCAGTGTCTCTCATTTCCACCACGCGGCTCCTCTATCTCGGTTTGCGGAAGAAAGGAGAGAAATTGGCGGGCGGGGCGGGCCATAAACGCGAATTTAGTTATATCGGTGGCACCGACCGTGTCTCACGGGCGCAATAAATATCCACGCTCGCCACCGTTAAGACGTCTACTATTGCTCCCACCGTGTATGACCCCACTTCATCACAGTTTCACCCGCCCGTATCCACCCCGTCCACACGTCCCTTTCGATCGAATATGTATCGGGACGATGGCCCCGTTGATTTTACGACGCATCTCTGTCGCGGAGAGGTGAGAAAAATGGAGGACGTTGGTTTTATGACGGTTTTACCATTTTTATCAGAGGATGAAATTATTGGCGCGCGCCAATAATTGGACGAGTCGTAAACGAATCACGGATGTTTCTATTCGAATTGGACGGAATTTTTGCGTGTCAAGAATTTCGAAAGGTATTTCAGGGGTAATCTTCTTTTCGTAGCGAGAAATAAAAATTGTTGGCAATCGAATAGAATAGTTTTCTCGAACGTATCGTTGAATCTAATCGTTGCCATCGTCTCGTTAATTTAATTTCCAACATTGGATCAGGCATAAAAACGGATCTAACATTCAAAACTCGTGGAAAGAGAATAGTTTCTCCGGGGACGCTCGTTCTTTTCACTTACGACGAGAGGATCTTTTCGAGATACGTAAAAGGAGAATCCCTTTTCTTCGAGATTCCCCGAGATTTGCCACGATCGAAAGAAAGGAAGGAGGGGAAACGGAAGGGGGACGAACAAGGGCGATCCTTTATCCACCCGACTTTATTCGCTTTAAAGAGATCGTGCCCAGCGTGATCCCGCCAACGTTTAATTATTGCTGGTTAAACGGCGATAATTGAAAGGGGGTGTACGGATCCGTGAAATCGAAGAAATGTCTCGACCTCGTCCGTTCGTTCGGTTCGGTAATTCGAGGATTCGAGACTTGTTGATATAATACGAATCGTGGCGGATCCTCCGCCGGGGGAATTGTCTCTAAGGAATCCTTGGCACGGTGTTTGCCCACCCGGGGAATCCAAGTGTCAGATTAATCCGACGATGGATCCGAGAGAGATGCGTCTATCCTCTATCTATACAAGCTTGACTCGTGTCTTCTGCACGTGATCCTCTTTTCTTTGGATAGCTCAGGATCTCCTCTTATTATTATTGAGGGGACGTTATTGATGCGGTGAGAGCAAATTAGAAATAACAACGATAAAATTTATCGTTAATTAATTGTAACGATTTCATATTGTCTTTTCGAATTTCATTCCATTCGGAAGAATCGATCGTTCGTCGAATGTCGTCGCTTTCCTCGAGCGTTTCGAGGGGTTCCTTGGTGCAGAAGGAAGTCGAGTCGATCGGAAAGCGCGTGGTCGAGCGTAAGTTACGATACCCCGTTCGTTCCCCATTCGTCATGGGAAGGCACCGCTTTACATATGCATGGAGAGTAAGCGAGCATGTAACGGCTAAGTGGTCACATCCCCTTACGTGAAAGTTAAGTGGGCATGGCAGCACGAGCCGTGGCCACGGGCCGAGAAAATTATCTTCAATTATCTCGTGCAATCATGAGCCCTCCTTCGCTCTCTCTCTCTCTCTCTCTCTTCTCGTTCGCCATCTCCTCTTCGCTCGCCAACCTCCTCGTGATTTATTATTCGAGGAAACTATTCCTCGTTCTGCGAATTATCGTTTAAAAATGCAAATTTCAATGAATATCAATTATCATTCGGGAGGAATATTTAATAATTCTCGTTCGAGATCTTAGAAAAAAAAAAAAAAGGAAAAAAAGAAAGAAAGAAAGGAGAGACAAACATCGAAAAATCTCGTTTCAAGAAACACCAGTTCTCCCGTTCCAGGAAACCGCTTCGAAGCCATTCGAAGTGGTAACAGCGAGAAAATTACTCCAAGATAAAATATTCCTCCCGAGCTCGGCTTAGAATTTTCTCGAAGTCCGTGCGATTTAGTACAGTTAATGAAACGTCGTTCCCCATCGACATTTATCGATTATTCGAACGATCGACGCGCAAATTGATACATTAGAAGGCATAACGGGTCTTTCGGCTCGACAACAGCATCCTGTCCGCCTTTCTTGCCATCGCTGTTCGCAAGAAAATCGATGGGGATCCCTTCCGAGCTACTCGATCGACCGTTTCGTTCACGAATCGCGCCTTGTTTCCACGAGAAGCACGAGAAGCGAAACGAAGCGTGGATTTTTATCGTCGCGAGTTCACCATCTCGCTACTTACCATCCCGAGAAAACCGCAAACCTCCGTTGTCTATTGACTTTTTCTTACGTAGTTCCGACGAAACGTTCGATTTACACGCCGCGCAATTACAGTTGCACAACAGTTTGTCTTGGTTACCTACGGTAGTCGGTGGGGTTGTTGTTTGCTTTTGCACGCAACTTACGACAGCTGTTTGCGATTATCTGCTTCGAAATCTTTCTCCTTAAATTCGATTCATATGGATTACGGATAGTTAAAGAAAATATTCTCTATAAGTTTATATTCAATTCATATACATAAAAGTCGGTGGGAAGTTAAATCATCCGATGGAGATCATGATCAGAGATTGCCAATTTAGAAAAATAATTTTTTTAACCATCAAGGAATGATGCATCCAAGTTTAATTGGATCGGTATCGAGCGTCTTCCAAGTCGATATCTTAAATCCAACGTCGAGATCGAACATTTCAATTATTAACCGTCACTAGCTTACTCGAATTAATGGAAGTTAAGAGAATCCTAAATCCTCGCGTCGAATCAAAGCGTAACGCGAACTCGAAAACCGGAAAACCGGAGAAAAGAGGCGGTTGCGGCAACGATACTCGATCGGTTGCGCAACCGGTTGCCACGAACAATTAAAATTCACCGGGAACGATAAACGCCGACAACGTAATCCTTGCGACCGGGTCGCGCATAAATTTCGCGTTCGACCGGTGAACGAAGCGCGAGCGAAACCGCGCGAGTATTATTGGCCAAGCGCCGCGCGGTTCGGGGCGTTCTCTTCCGGGCCCCGAGCGATACAACGTGAAACCTTTTCGCGAATATATATATATATTCCATAAATTGTCGAGAGAGAAAGTGCACGCAGAGTGGCAGGTGGCTCGACGATAACGCTCGTTCACGCTTCCTCGAAACGCGATTCCGGAAAACCAGCTGACACAGAGCTCGATCGAGATTGGGAGGAGGAGAAAGGACAAGGCGCGGAGGGGAATAGGGACGCTATTAATTGACGAGGAGGAGGACTGCCACGAGAAGAGAGTCCATAGACGACCATAATTCTCTCTTAATGTGACGCCTTCCTCTTGCTCGCACCCCTCGCGTAATCTCTTTCCTCGCGCAACACCCAGTGTTTTTCCATCCTCGATTCGCGCGTATTCGTTCGGAGGAGAGTTGTGTTGGGGCGGATCGAAGCCGACGATGACCAGATATTACGGGCCGACCCTCCCTCCGTGAAAGCCTCTGCTCTCGGAGATTGAGCTCTTCCCCCCGTTTCTCGCCGTTTATTATTGCGCGTCCGGCCACCACGAGAGTGGATTAAGACGAAACGAGGATCGGAAGTCGCGCGCAGGGGGTGTGATCGAGGAAACAAAGAGGAAATCTTTCTCTCACCCCCGATCTGGGAAAGATACACTGCTCACAGGGTGAGCGTCACAGGAGAAACTATATATAGGTCGTGGAAAATGTTGTCGAGGCGGTGGTTATCGAGGGACCACGAGATTGACGCGAGTCTCTCTCGGGACGATTAAATATTTTAACCGGGCGGAATTTGGACGAAGCTGAGTTGCGTGAGCAGTGGGATGGGGAAAGGCGTTTCGATCGAATCGTTAGCACTCGATATCGATGATAACGAACCGATTTCATCCCCCGATGAAACTGTAATCGGATAATTGAATCGTTCCACGGAATTAACGAAGAGTTTTTTGTGCTCGAAAAGGGGAGACACGGATTCTTAGGCGAGTTTCGGGGGCCGATTCTCTTCGATTCGTGGTGGAAATTTCTTCAAAGCGGAAATTAATTGACAATTAACCGGAATTAATGCGATCCCGGCTACGATTTGTATTTCGGGCAAGTATCTCGCCTCTCTTTCTCTCTCCCTGGAGAACTCGATGGACCTTAATCGTGTTTCCTCTCGAGCGCCCCTCCTCTCTCTCTCTCTCTCTTTGTCTTTTCGTCTCTCTTTCCTCTTTTCGTGTAAATTCGAAGGGATAAGGGTAGGAGTCGATAAAAAGAGCGTGGTGCTTTCTCTACGTCGAAGGCTTAGCCGCAAGGAGTGTCGAATCGACGGTAATTCCATCCAATTAGAACACTCCCAATTAGAGGAGCCTTAGACCGAGCCCCCTCTTTCCCTGCCCTTTCTTCTCCCCTGCGATTCGAGAGAAACACGACTCGCGCCTCTCTTCAATTTCCACTCTCCTCGAGTCGAGCTTAATCTCCAATCTCCGGAGATATATTTATAACTCATCGAAACAGGCAGACTGATTTAACAGATTTTCTCCCTTTTCCTCACGTTTCAGGCCGCCGAGATCGAAAAGTCTCGATTGCCAGCGATGAACCCGAGCTTCGCAGACTCGAACAACACGAGCGGCTCAACCGACAGCATCCTGTCGCTGCTGATCCCAGCCCCCCTCCGCGAGACTCTGTGGACGACAGTGGCCTTGTACCTCGGATGGAGGCTGGTCTCCCGTCTTCGATAGACGCGACAGAATCGTCGTGTCGTCGATGCCACGACGATCGACCACGATCCCTCGAGAACAGATTTAAGGATCATCATCACCGAAGCTTGGAACCGACGCATCAGGGACACCCGGTTAGCCGAGCCGTCGTCGCCACTTGGTAAACCAGCGACCGGTCTTTCTTGGCCCTTTGCACGCGCGAACCACCGCCCGTCCGCCAACGTTTCCACGCTTGTAAACCAACAGAGCGGATTCCCCCGCGTGGAGGACGACCCCTACAGCAACATCGATCTTCTATTTTCGCGCCACCATCTATTTTCTATGTACGCGCATCTCTCGCCGCACGCGATCGAGAATGCACTCGCATCGCGCATTCTCCTTCGTTCCTTCGACGTCGTGGATCCGTCGCGCCTCGACGAGAACGCGGCGAAGGACTCGAAGGAGGAGGAGGAGGAGGAGGAGGAGGAGGAACTCGTGGGTCGCGACGAATACGAAGGTATAGATAGCGGGATCGAGGAGGGGGAGGAGGAGGAGAAGGACGAGGACGACGAGGGTGGAGCTTGTCAACTCGTTACTTGTCGTGAAGTCAGAGTTACCTGAGGCCAAGTACCATTTCACGTTTGTCCGATGTTGGTTGTTCGGTGATGGCCGATGTAAAAGGATGACTCGATGTGTCGTGTCCACGTACCGGTAACTCTGCCTCAACGACACGATCAAAGAGTCGCGTCCGGAATATATTTCTTGCTTTCTTTTTTTTCTTCTTCTTTTTCTTTCTTTTCTTTTTTTTTTTTTTTTTTTTTCTTTCTTTCTTTTTTCCATCGGCCTCGACTCGCGTAGTTAGTATTCCTCGCTCGAGAGTGTCCATCCTTCCCGGCCGAGCGATCGTCGCGCGCGATCGATTCGACGGCAAGGATCGATTTCCAGGTGCATTCTCGCCCCGTGGCGGCGCGCGACCATCGACGAACTGCTCGTTCGACCGATCGTTTGTGACGATCGTTCGTTCTTCCGGTTTCGTTGCATGCACTCTCTCTCTCTCTGTCTCTCTCTCTCTCTCGGCTGATTTGAAGTATATATACGTTCGAATATATACGTATATATGGGAGAAGATGATCGGAATGGTGATGACGATCGCGAGACCGGTCTAATTGGACGGTGAGGGCGACGGGAGGGAGAATATTAAGGAAGAGATCCAAAGAGGACTTAACCCAATAATCAAATGATGATCTCATTAAAGGATATAAAAATAAAGAGAATTAAATAAAAATAGTGTGATCACGGGAACGGGACGGATTCTTCCCTTCTCTTTCGTTTCTCTCGATCACTTTTTTTCTTGCTCTCTCTTTTTCTTTTCCCCTCCGTCTATGCGCCTATTGCGCTATTTTCGATTTTTCCCCTCCGTTGATCGTTAATCGTAATACACGCAAGTTTTTCCGTCCCGTTCTCGTCCGTCGGTAGGAAGTATTTTGACGTGGCTTGTAGATAACGCGGTTACCTAGCCGATACTAAGGCAAGGCAGAACTCTTATCTGGGATAAAATAAAAAGAAGAAATGACATCGCGCCATGTCGTCTCGCGAACGGTCCAAGATCCTCGAACAGGGGCGAAACTCGTGGAGGGGTAGGGCAGGGCAGGGGAGGGGAGGGGAGGGGAGGGGAGGGGAAACGGAGATTTCGTGATCTTAGATAATAATAATCGAGGATCGATCGATTTTCGAAACGAAATTGAACGATCATCGTGGATTAGAATTGGGATCGCTAGACGTTCATGGCGATTGTCGAATCATTTTGTAAATGAAAGTATTTCTGGGGGAGAGAGTGTTTCTCTCTCTCTCTCTCTCTCTCTCTCTCTCTCTCTCTATCTCTCTCTCTATCTCTCTCCCTCTCTCAGTATGTATTCCAAAAGCAAAAGAACAAAAAAAAATATATATATATATATCTGATACTACGAGAAGAAGAACGAAAAAGAGAATATATTTGTAGTATAAGGAAAAGAGAAAGATTAATTGCGCGATTGAGCAGGTAGGGAAACGGGCGAGGACACGTAACGTGAAGAGGGGAGCAATTACGTATTGTAATTATAGAGGATTTAACTAAAATAATTAAAATTCAGTAAATAAGTCGACGTTTAATAATTAAAGTAGATAATCGATAGATCGAGGATCGCAGCATCTTAATTGGCTAGCTGCGAGTCCCGTGGACAGTTTTCGAATGATCTCCGGTAGCTTAGCTCTTAGTGGCGCCCTCCTCGAGGACGCCTTTCATGACGCTGAGGGACGGGGGGTGTTTCCCACCCTTTGCTCCTGCGCGTCACCTTTTTCTTTCTCACTCTTCAATTTTATCTTTTTATCTTTCTCGCATTTTCTTCTTCTTCTTCCTCCTTTTTCTCTTCTCTTTGCGCGCTTATCTATTCTCTCTTGTTGTGATAATTATGCTTTTTCCTTCTCTTTTATGATCCACATTTGCGATATTGTGTCATTTTTATTTTAAAAAATTTCTCTCAATTCTCTTTCGCGTATCTTTTAATCTCTTCTTCACTTCTTCTTCTTCTTCTTTTTCTATTCTATTCTATTCTATCACTCTCTTCTCTATCGTTAATATATCATTTTGTTATTCGTCGATTCTCGCGATTATGTATTCTTTAAATGATAATTATTATTTTTTTTTTTTGATCTCGTTAATTAGCATTATATATTTTAGGTCTTCGTTGTTTCGTACTCGCGATTCTATAGGCCATGCCCCGCCATATATTGGCGCGAATGCTCGTAGAAGTTCGAAGTGGAATTAATAATTAAAGGATAGTTAGTATCCCTGATCGAGCCTCGAGTGTGTTCCCTCGAGTGGATCTCGAACGGGATGAAACCAAAATCATCATAAGGCTGTCGATACGATAGTGTTTTCCCGTGGACCGTTCTATCTGTCTCTCTATCTGTCTCTATCTCCCGAGTAAAGACTTCTTCCTTTTTTTTTTTTTTTTAATTATTAATATTTTTTATTACGATTATTATTATTATTATTATTATTATAATTATTATAATATTATTATTATATTATTATTATTAATATTATTATTATTTTTTATAATTTGTTTGTTTGCCCTTTTCTCTTCCATCTTAAAAATTAACAGATAAGATTTCGTGACGTACTCCGTCGAAGTATTCCAGTGTGTAGAAAAACTAGTAGTATTTATTTATAGGTAAACGTGTATTCATATATGTCTAAATAGGGGGTAGGGAGGAGTGTTCTTCTCTCTCTCTCTCTCTCTCTCTCTCTCTCTCTCTATCTCTCTCTCTATCTCTCTCCCTCTCTCAGTATGTATTCCAAAAGCAAAAGAACAAAAAAAAATATATATATATATATCTGATACTACGAGAAGAAGAACGAAAAAGAGAATATATTTGTAGTATAAGGAAAAGAGAAAGATTAATTGCGCGATTGAGCAGGTAGGGAAACGGGCGAGGACACGTAACGTGAAGAGGGGAGCAATTACGTATTGTAATTATAGAGGATTTAACTAAAATAATTAAAATTCAGTAAATAAGTCGACGTTTAATAATTAAAGTAGATAATCGATAGATCGAGGATCGCAGCATCTTAATTGGCTAGCTGCGAGTCCCGTGGACAGTTTTCGAATGATCTCCGGTAGCTTAGCTCTTAGTGGCGCCCTCCTCGAGGACGCCTTTCATGACGCTGAGGACGGGGGGTGTTTCCCACCCTTTGCTCCTGCGCGTCACCTTTTTCTTTCTCACTCTTCAATTTTATCTTTTTATCTTTCTCGCATTTTCTTCTTCTTCTTCCTCCTTTTTCTCTTCTCTTTGCGCGCTTATCTATTCTCTCTTGTTGTGATAATTATGCTTTTTCCTTCTCTTTTATGATCCACATTTGCGATATTGTGTCATTTTTATTTTAAAAAATTTCTCTCAATTCTCTTTCGCGTATCTTTTAATCTCTTCTTCACTTCTTCTTCTTCTTCTTTTTCTATTCTATTCTATTCTATCACTCTCTTCTCTATCGTTAATATATCATTTTGTTATTCGTCGATTCTCGCGATTATGTATTCTTTAAATGATAATTATTATTTTTTTTTTTTGATCTCGTTAATTAGCATTATATATTTTAGGTCTTCGTTGTTTCGTACTCGCGATTCTATAGGCCATGCCCCGCCATATATTGGCGCGAATGCTCGTAGAAGTTCGAAGTGGAATTAATAATTAAAGGATAGTTAGTATCCCTGATCGAGCCTCGAGTGTGTTCCCTCGAGTGGATCTCGAACGGGATGAAACCAAAATCATCATAAGGCTGTCGATACGATAGTGTTTTCCCGTGGACCGTTCTATCTGTCTCTCTATCTGTCTCTATCTCCCGAGTAAAGACTTCTTCCTTTTTTTTTTTTTTTTAATTATTAATATTTTTTATTACGATTATTATTATTATTATTATTATTATAATTATTATAATATTATTATTATATTATTATTATTAATATTATTATTATTTTTTTATAATTTGTTTGTTTGCCCTTTTCTCTTCCATCTTAAAAATTAACAGATAAGATTTCGTGACGTACTCCGTCGAAGTATTCCAGTGTGTAGAAAAACTAGTAGTATTTATTTATAGGTAAACGTGTATTCATATATGTCTAAATAGGATCGAGCGAGATGATTCGCGAGATTAATTAAATACTGCCATTCGTCCTAAAGCTGAGAACGCGCGTGAAAGGTGTTGTTGTGTGTCGTCCTGAATTGTAGATAAGGGAAGAAAAAAGAAAAAGAAAAAAATACTCGAGGACGTTCATCAGGACCCTGCCTGAATGGAACGTCTCTTCGAGGAGGCGTACATACGTTATTTTTCCTCTGTCGAGAAAAGTCGATACGCCCTTTAAAGTGAAAGTGTGCGTAGATAGATGATGCGTGATGATGATGATGATGATGATGATGATGATAATGATGATGATTATGATGCTGATGATGACGATAATGACGATGATGACGATGATAACGATGATAATGATGATTGTTCGATTATAGTTTCTCCGAAGGAGGAGTTCAGGATCGGTGATACAAGGTGAAAGGGAGGGTAACACCCTCGTTTCCTCCTCATCCGGTTGCACCGATCCGAATCGTTCCACGGACGAATTGTCTAGAGTCTCTTGATGTTCGTAAAAATAGTAACTTAAATATAGCGTATTTTTCATCGACTACTCACTCATTCGCCAGAAATATGTATTTCTGGGGAGTACAAGTTTTGTGGCGAGCCGACCATATTCTTCTCTCGTTCCACCCCTGTGATTTCGTCCGATGTGTGTGCGTTCGTTTGTTCTTCCTCTTCGGTTGAATGAATTTATATATCGATAATGATGATGATAATAATAGTACAGTTTGACAGGTGGTTTTATATATAAAGTCGTATCTTTTTGATCGTGTTCCGTTGAGATCGATAAAGATTTTTATTATCAAGTGATATTTTCCATCATGATTTTCGCCTCCTCGTTCGATGGGTTAACGTTTAAGAAAAACTCTCGGTGGGGTTCAGCAGCAACTTGTCTCCAGTTTTCTTCGTTTTTTTTTTTTTTTTTTTACTTCTTCCTTTTTTTTTCTTTCTTTTTTTTTTTATTCTAGAATGTTCTTAAGTTCTTTGTCGATCGAGTTTTCTTCTCTCCTCTCTATTTACCCGAGGAGGGGGTAAACGCGAGAGCGAGCAGGATCGTCGTACAATTGTGATGTAATAAGATAGTAATTGCCATTGGCGCGATGAGAGGGGATGACAGGGCTCTCGTCGCGCTCGCGAAAACCTTTTTTATATTAGCATTCCGACCAAAGGAAAAGGAAGTAGAGTTCGATCACGTGTGCACGTAGTGAAACGCAAGACATATTGTTCCCTTTTTTTTTTTCCTTACAATTTTCCCCCCCTTTCATTTCTTCGTATAAAAATGAGGCTTGAACGAGGCCATACTTGTCAGCCTTGTGGCTATACTCAACGAAATTTCTCTTTTCCCGTTTTTACCTTGTTTTTCGTTGTTGTTGTTGTTTTTTTCTTTTTTCTTTTTCTTCATTTTCACCTCTCGTCACCTTTTCACGCGCATTGCACCCAATTAGACGTGACGCGTGAAGAGGGAAAAATGAAATAGAGCACCGAGAAACACGAACAAATTTTTGCGCCCGTGTATGAAACGTAGCCCCGTTTGTAGGTTTAAGAGTCGAGATAAAGAAGAAGATTAATTAGAAATCGAGGGAAACGCGATTAGCAAACGAAATAGAAGCTAAGAATACTACTACCAGTCGAGCAAACGATAATCAAGCACATGGGATTAAGATAGAACGCAAAGACCACAGAAAATTAATAAGAAGAATAAATAAATAAATAAAAAAAAAAACGCATGTACATAGCCGCTTGTTCGTGGGGCCGTAAAGTACCATAATATCGTCTACGATTGCTATATACCCCTTTTCTCTATGTTCGTTTTCGTGTTTTCTTTTCTTTCTTTTTTTTTTTTTTTT